TAAAATTAAAATAATGACAATAAAAAATTATTTTTTAAAAAAAAATATATGAAAAATGGCCATAAAACCTCTCCCGACGAATGAATTTCGGGTCGACACCGCCGCATAGAACCAAGCAATTGTTGAGTATAGCCTTGATCTTTTTATGTCCTCCACCATTGCGTTCCACTGAAGCTCAGCCACCTTCCCGAAATCCCAGTGTTGCACATAAACTATGATCTGGTTTGGAAGCAAAGCATCGACCCGAAGCTTGGACTTGTCTGCTTTCAAGAGCTCCAAATACGTCTTATGAGCAGGCGGATGTATTGGATCACGATATTCGTATTGAGTGTTGCAGGCGTGAGCCAAGGGGTCCAAAACTTCATAGAGCTGTGACCTAACTCTACCCTTGTAATCAGCCTCTTCAAGACCTTGGAATTCCGACTGCCCTAGAGGTTCAAGTCTCCCAAATGCCAATTAAGCATTGGGTATGGGTTTTTGCCATGGAAACATTACAGCATCCCACATTTCTAAAGTAATATTCATGCTACTTTATAATTTTTTAAAAAGCCTCTCAGTCTATAGTTTGCCCCCAAGACGAAAACTTTCTGGATCCACCACTGAGATTAAGGAGGTGGAGGAGCTTTGTTACTTGGCAAACAAGCAAATCTTTTTCCTTACCTACCAAATATTTGAAGATCAATATTTATAAGATATTTCGTTTTATTGAATGGGTTGTACTGTTTTTAATTCTTTCTAATGAAGTGCTTTTATTGTATTGTATGATTGTTGTGCCCTAGCAAATGGGGGTTCTCTGTTGTGGTGGATCTTTTGTTTTGCCATAACAAAGTTCCATTTTGACGAGAAAAAATAGAATAAGTTGGACATAATTCACGCACAACTTTATGATATTTATTATAATATGAACCGTTAATTTTTCAGTAATACGACGAACTAGCACTGCTGTAATTACAAACAGCAAGAATTTTTAAGTCTTCTTCAAAAATGCACGAGTAGCTAAAAAAATCGAAAGCTTCTAATTTACTAAAATTTCAAGATCAGCACAGTAGTACAATACACTTGGTTTGCGATCAAGAGGGAGAAACTATAGAAAGAAAAAAAATTAGAAATCTTCTCCTTATCCTCTGCAAGAGATGCCAGAAATTTCTGCACAACACCTCAGCTCCTCTTGTTTAGTGGTTCGACGAGCAAGTTGTATCTCCCTCGGCAACAAAATTGGACTCTGTTGGTGATTACATGGATTAAACTACGCTGAACTTGCGGTCACCTTCTTCCGGACAATCCTCTTTCTACGTGTCTTAGGGGTTGAAGATTCCCCATCAGCAACGGAGTCAGCATTCCCTTGTTTGATGCCAAGGAGACCAAGCCCAGAAACAATGGCATTCTTCGAAATAAACCATTTTGAAGATGGCCGTTCAAGATTGTCTGAAGGCCTACTGTAAACCTTCAAAAGATCATCAGAGTCAACCAATGGATCAGCCTCCACCCCAAGCCAAGCCAGCCTTGATCTCTCCCCTACTTGTACATTCAAAAGCCTGTGCACATTCCCAGTTAAGAGTCAAAAGAATAACTCTAACAGTAGTCGACATATGTGCAGCAATTACCATTTAAAAGCAAGACCTAAGATTTTCTCAATAAAAAGAAAATCCCAGTAGAGTTTTTTTAATAGAAAATAAAAAAGAAAAACCCAGTAGAGTTTAGACCAAGATGGCCTTGGTTTTATGACAGAACCATATCTCTGACATGCAGAGGTAACTACAAAAGTAGAATGTCACGGGATGAAATCACACCACAACGCATTTCAAAGTTCAAACTAAGCATTTAATGTTTTGATGACAGCATATATTCGGATTTGGATCCGCCTACTAATTTTATTCAGATTTAGATATCTACAAATTCTTGAGAGAATCACAGAACCAAACAATCTCCGCTGCAACTTAAGTCTACCAAGTTTCTCACAACGGGGCAAAGTAAATAGGGACAGACAGGCAGAATCACAAAGGGAGTTGCAGTGGAAATAAGTTACAAATGATTGCTACGATTCTGCACCTGGAGGAAAGACATTGACTAGGTATCCATATATGAGAATTCAACCAATTCTCATGCAAAGTAACATCAAAGAAACATATATAAAAGCACTATGCTGGCTCCACCAGGCACCAGTAAAGCCAATGATGAGAGAACTGAAGCATTTTTCATTATGGATTTACACTTTTAGATTATTAAGGAAAACTATGGGAAAAAAGATATGTTTTCAAAATATTAAATGCTTAGATTTAAGTGAATAATAAATCCATAAGGCCAGAGAAAATTGAGAAGGTAGAAAGGGGCAGAGTGGAAAGTAGCTAGCATTCATCAATACTTCAACAAAAAGGTTAATGGAAAACGGCAAGAATGTCATAAGCATGAAAGGACAACCCTCTAAGTGCGGGGTTATGTTTGTACAAGAAATTTAGCAGTGTAAGCTTTGAATGCAAGTCCCCACATATAATGAAAAGCATACCTTAGTGTCGTGCTTAGAAACAGCGCCACTCCAATAACATCAAAATGGTTCATCACAGCTCTGTCAAATCCACATAACAGCTGATATCTCAAGTTCGCATAAAGTCCGAGGAATGCACCATAACCAAGTGCATTTGCTTTCACACTTGGGATCGTCACAGATAACCTGTTGAAAAGTTAAAAATTCAATATGAACTAAATTCTTCGAGCAAGCATAGGAACTACTAAATTAGTTCGACTAATAATAAACAACTGTCTTTTTTATAAGGGGAGGGAGGAGTGAAAATTAATCTCAAAGAAGTTGAAGCATTCCCCCTTCTGCTAATATTTTGTTTGAGTGGAACCCTTTTACTATTCACAACAAAAACAAACCAAACTACATCATCTAGTCTAAAAAGAAAAGATTACAGAATCAACAGAGTGTAAATTTTTTAGTTTTGTTTTGGCCAAAGACTTTCTGCCAAATCGTAACTATCAAGCATGGAACCGTTATTGGTAAATGTAAAAAAACTAAACCAACCTATTATTACAGTAAAACTTCAATATCTCAAAATAAAAAAATTCTTGTATTTACATCACAGTTACAAAGTACGCTTAAACTACAAAAATTCAATTCCTATGCTACGAACAGTATCCATTAAAACTAAATTTAATGGTTAAGTAATACATGTAACAGAACTCAATTAAAAAAACACATAAAAGTAATACACCTAAATTACTGCTGCAATAATATCACCTTGTTACGGGGATGAGAACAGCACTAAGAAAGATGCAAGAGTTTGAAAGGAGAAAGGGGAAAGGAGGAGAGAAAGTTATAACAAATAATGATATTAATGGATAAGAATATGTAATCCAAATATACATTGCACATCATCTATATAATAAAGCTATGAATAGCTTTGATGAAATAGCTTAGAACATCTAAGTATACTACATAAAACAAAGAAAGAAAACATACTCCAAACTAATAAGGTCACCAAATCATTAAAAACATATTAAATACTGAGATTTTTATTACGAGGTCACTTGTCATTCAATAAATTGGCAAAGAAGCTTATTAAACGAAGTAACTTTTTTTTTGGTCTGATTAAACGAAGTAACTTTAACAAGCATATTATCAGTCCAGTGAACAGCTAACACCTATCTACACTTTCTTATAGAGTTTAGACTTATTGTTTAAGTGGCCATGGAAAAGAAATAACAAAACAAACAAATGCAGAAAAGACGGGCAAATCAAAAGTATTAGCAATAAAGTAAACCAAAGAAAAAGTATTAGGGTTAAAGTGGTATAAATTATTTCTTCAGAAATTGTACTGGTTAAGGAAAAAACAAAACATAAAAATAAAAGGAGCAAAGATGGACAAACACAAAGTTTTAGGGTGTAAAAGTGGTATCAATTACTTTATCAGCAATTGGTAAAATTTTATCACAGGGAATCAGTGTTCTATGAAGAAACAATAGGACTCATGGTTCTTTAACGGAAAAGTAAGACAAATTCCTTCTTTGACTTCTTCTCCATTTCTAATATGAGCCCAAAATAGATAACAAAAACATGTCAGCAATACACTGCTCACCTTCCCTCTTTTTTATGGGCCAAAAAATTTGATAAAGAACCTTGCACAGCTCCAGCTGTTAGTCCAACCATACACAACTCAGCAGCCTTGTAGAAGAATGAGTGAACTCTCTTTTGCAAGTCAAATTCCCTCAGTGGGTAGCTCTTCTCAAATATATTGTTGGGGAGCTTTTGTAACGTATTTTGCAAATCAAACTTGAATGTGTTCCCATATGAACGACAAGGAGCAAGTGACCAAACAACAATAGCATTGCATGCTGTTACTGTGAGCACATTTATAAGCGCCAAATCCCATTCTTGCTTTATCCTATTCTCAAAGTAAATAAACATCAATGAGTCCAATATTTAAAAGGCTTCGGAAAAAATTGATGCTTCTGTCATACCATGAACACACCTGCCCTTACGATTCTTTAACTCCCACCAAACTGAGGAACCAATTGTTGCAGCCTGCTCTAAAAGAAACCTATATAAGAAAGCGGGATCTGCAAGCATTCTGCACAACAAATTATATTACACATCAAATTTAAGGAAACAAATCACCATTTTATGTTTATTAGAGAATTCAACGGACACCAAAACACAACCCTCATTCAGTTGTAGAAAGCATTACAGGAAGGGAGGACATATAAAAGCATTGCCACTGAATTACGAAAATATGTAAATTATTACATCATAAAATCAGTCAAGTTATGTTTTCTATTCATTTATCTATCTATGGCTCCTCGTCTTTTATCGTTTCATATCTTATTTTTCAGACTTATTCACTAACTTCCTCTGTTGTCTCTTCATTTTTGTTGTGTTCCCAATCGTGGTCTTCACAGGAAAAACTCTTGGTGGATTGGTACATGTTTCAGTTTGCTCGCAAGTGTTCAACGAGAACCTTATTGAAACTGCTCTTTTGGTTACATTTGGCTGCTGGGCTACTTAAATACCTTAATAGTTGACCGTTGATTACTCATGTTGGGTCACTAAATTAGATTAAATTCAATTGTTTTGGTTGTTCAAGTTAGAGTAGGAGTTTGTTGGTCAACTATATTTATGCCCGCAAATTTAAAAGTAAGAGGAGTCATAATGGGCTCTAAAAAAATAAATACAAGGTATTTGGATGAGATTTTTTCCAGGGATACTAAGAAAAATGCAATCGATGATGGGAAAATTTTTCAAAGTTTTCTGAAATATATGTGTTTTTTTGGGGCCCATTGTGGAAGCACTTTATATCGAACTTAGAGTTTCAAAAAGACACATGATCGCTTCATGATTTTGAGGCACATGATGCCATCAGATTTCCAGGCATATGATGCCTAAGTTATTGAAGCAGACTAGTAATATATCTAGTTTTTACAAGGGAAAACACCAAATCAAAAATCTAGACACTTCTGTTCAAAATGTGTGATAAATTTGCATGGGAGTATTGACCATGTTGAAGATCATATACAGAGAAATTCAAGGTGGTATGACACAGCAATTAAGGCAGCATAAGCACAAATCCAGTTACTTTTCTTTTTTGTTTTGTGTTTTTAGTTTCTTTTAAATTTTGAAGTGTGGGGAATAAAAAAATAATTAGGATTATGAGAATACCGGTTTCCTTTGCTAATAGCTAGTTCGCTTTGGTGATCAGCATTGGTCCTTATTAAATCCATTTAGGGTCATGATTTATGTAAGTAAAACCCTTTAAGAATTATGATTAATGTATTTCATCCTGTTGCTATTTCCTTAAACACCACCCAAAAAATATGATTTATTTCATCAATATAACAAGACAGTTCCCTACTTATACGGATTATAGAGAATTGATTTCTTAATAGCCTGCTAACTTCTACTCTATCACAGAATTGATGCCATCACAATGTCTTGAGGTATGCAAATAAAGTTTTCTGCACAATTCTACTACCCCTTCCTACCATAAAAAAACAGCTTTGTATGGAAACATTAATCGGTATGATGTTGAGAATCTAACATGCCAACATTAATCAAACAAGGAAAAATGCTTATGATATTATCACTTAGAACAGTCCAAAAGCTACTTATTGGCAAAAAGAATAAACTTGAGACTTAAGGAATGGCTCGAGAAATAAATAAACTTACCTGCCAATGAATGCCCTTGATATTCCATCAGGAAGTGCACGAGAAATAAACCTAGTAGTGGTTGGCCTGGCATTGGTTGCTAAGAATTTGACCATTTGAGCGGAGCTGATCAGTCCCTGGAGGCAATATTTCAGTTATTTAGCCAAAAGTGTTTCTTTTTCTTTTCTTTCTTTTTTTTAATTTTTTTTTAAATTTTTAATTTGGGGGGATTTGGGGTATCTAGCTTAGAGAGTTCAGACAAAATGTGATATCAAAAGTACTGCACCATTTCATAAGCTTGCCGGAACCCAGCAGGTAAATCCATCATTGTCTTCTGCCACTCATTCAATACTGCATCTACAAATTTTCGATCAAACAGCTGGAGAAAATATCACAAAGCATCAGTACATCTATACATTACAAATTAACATCACCAAAGAGAAAGAAAAAAAAATCAACAAATAAGCAATATTGTTTATGTGCAGAAATTCCTAACCTCTTCAAGAAACATCCGTCTTCTAAACAGACCACCTTCATCACCCTCATCACCATCATCGAAGTCATCAAAATAATCATCATCATCACCATCATCGTCACCTCCATCACCACCACCATTATTTATCCTCTTTCCAATATCTCCGCCACCTCCCCCAATTGCAGTCTGCAATTTCAATTATTAGGATTTTCACAAAATACCAAACAGAACAAAGGGAAGTAAATGAAACATTCCAATTTATATGGCCAAAATTGCTTAATGAAAGCAGAGGCCTGAGTACTCAGACAATTGTCTAATGCAGTATCACATGAATGGTTAGAAAGAGTTTTCCATTCTGCAGACCTATGCCTTAGAACAACCATTATTAGGGTACAAAAACTAATTTGATGGTCAATACCGAGGACAAAATATTGATGCCATATAACTGTTTCTTTCTTTCTTTCTTTCTGTTGCATTCAAGAACTTTGATATATTGCCTTAATTAAATTCCTTCTTTCCTTAGTTTATAACTATTATCATAATACTAATGGGTAGCTAATACGACATTTAAATTGAAGTTTCAGATGTCAAAATTCCCCGGCAATTATTGAAAGTAATGAGCTAGATTGAAAGTTAAAAATTACAAATTCAATAAGAAAATATCACTCACACATACAGAAATTGGAATCTTGGCAGTCGGTGTAACTATTGGTGTAGTTGCAGAAAAGATAAGTATGGTTTATTTGTTGTCTATTCAGATTACTATATAAATAGGTCACTCTTGATACTTAAATCCTAGTTATACCTATTCATATTGAGAATATAAGATTAAAGTCTGTTATTAAAGTTCAAGTAGACATACATTTTGGTTCTGTTTTCTTTTCTCCTATGTTCTTTCTCGATTCTAAAGTATACATATACACTCAACTCCCTTAAAAAATTCTGAATAATTTTGATGTCAGATTCAGCATACATTCAATCTTTGTATCCAACTTAAATTTTTAATTAAAAAAAACATTACAACCCATGAATTACAATATCATAAGAAATTAAATAAGAGCTAGTTCTTTTCTCAAAACCAAACAAACCACATGTTGGCAGATATCACTGTTGGTGATATTTGTAGAGAACTCATCATAGTTAGCTTTCCTATGCATCCTCTATATCTTCTTTGAAGTAAAAAATTTAATAAATTTCTACTCTCATAATCAATGTAGTGTGAAATCTAATGCATTTTCACACACAAGAATGACAGAGAAGATAAAAATTCTAACACGAAGGAAAAAACCAGAATCCTGGAAGAATTGAATCACTTCAATCGATCAGATAGCAACTAAGCACAACTTTAAGGATCCTATTTTCATATCTTATCCCATGTTTCCCAAACAGAAAACATTGAAAGTTTCTCGTTTTGTATGCATGTGAAAATTGTAAATTAGCGAGGCGGCCATATTACACTAATGATTTTGATAAAATAACCTAAAAATGGAATCTTGTTTACGATATCCAAATTACTGCAGCCTCCAGCACCTAGGTCAAGCACTTTATCTATCTTTACTTCGTTAAACGCTCAATTCAGTTGAGTGTGCCACTCTCAGTTTCTTTTTGATTTCGCACAATCTCTCACTAACCAAAAAACTCAATTAACTTGAGCAAACAAGAAATAATCAAAATTTCATTGCCAAACAAAGACAGAGACAGAGACTCAGACTGACCTCGGGGCTAGACTTGGATTGCTTCTGAGACATATCGAGCTTGCCTTTCTCAAGAGTAACCGCACCTAACGCACCATACTGTCCCTTCATAACCGGACCAAAACCGCCAGTGACGGATGGCCCCACAAAGCACCTCTCCAACAAAGCCATGGAGTCTCCATCCACAAAACCAGAAGTAGACGGAGACGCGCAATTGGCCTTCAACAACAGACCTCTCCGCTCCGACATCCGAAGCTGGATGGGACCCATCAGCTTGGGCTTCGTCGGGAGCTGGGTGTTTATCGGCATGATTTGAGCCGTTTGGAACACTGCGTGCGACATTTTTTTTGTCTCTTTTTGATGTTTTTTATTTCTGTTTGGATACTGAGAAAATCAAGTGATGATTTCCTCGTGAATTTTCTTGGCTCTCTCTCTGGAGAGAGAGAAGTGAAGAAACAAAGAGGGGGAGCAAGGGGTTGGGGGATTGGGGGTTTGGAGAGGAAGATAGCCGACTAAACGACGACAACCCAATCCGAAAGCGAAGTTCCTTTTTTCTTTTTATTTTCTTTTCGTTTTTTTGGATTTTTCCTAGACCAGGTGAGTTGACTGGGACTTTTGGATGAGTCGACTCGGCCGGCCCGGTTTGCGTGGGAATTTAGTTGTCTACTTGTCATTGCCACATTGTTGAAGTCGCGCACCAAATCCACTACAAAATGAATTTCACGACCAATAAAAGGTAGGGAAATTAGCGGTTTTGACCCTGGCTCCAGTAAATATTGCTTAAATGACCCCTTTTCTTAAAACTTTGTAAAATGATCTCTATAAATACATCATATCTCACGCCTATCATCTTTTTCTCACTTTTATGTTTCTCCTCTGAAATCAATCTCTACTCTCTCTCTCTTTGCCTCTATGGTGTCTCTCAAGATCACTCTCTCCCAGGTTGTCTTCCTTAATTGCGCAACAGATTATTCATCAAGGTTAAGATACGAAATCTCATTTTTCTCTCTAATTTCAAATTAGTGTTGTGGTTTAATGTTTGTAAGAAAAGGATTTATATGCCCCTAATTTAAGTTCAAAGAAATCAATTTGTATAGTGTAATTTAGTCATTGTTATTGTAATTAATATAAGTTATTTTTATGTTCCAAACCTTGTGAGATTTACGTTTACCCAAAAAAAACTTTACGAGATCTCATTTCAATTCAGTCACTCTAGAATCATTGCCGTTGGTAGGGTTTTGTTTACTTTGAAAAAAAAATTCCAAATGTGCTTGTTGGAAAATTGCAATCATCTATGGAGAACTCGTCGATCATCGCTATCGCCATCATCGTTTTGTTTACTTTTAGTATTGTGCATGTAAAATGACAAACCAACTCTTATAATTAACAAAAAAAATTGGATGGAAGTGTAATAACTTGACGATATGTGCTAAATTGACCATTTAAAATAGTAAAGGGGCTAAATCAGGAAAAAAAAAATCAGGGTGTGAAGTTCGACAGTCGAAATTATTCAGGGTGCTTTTCGGCAGTTTACCCTAAACTTAAAAGATAACTCAGGAGTTGTGAGCTGGATATCTTAATACAAAATAGATTGGTTAAGTTCAACGAGGTCAAGTGTTGATTAAGTCTTTTTCTGAGAGAAAAGTTGTGTGTTTTGGGAGCTATGTTCTACTAGTATATATAGACCTCTTGGTTGTTGAATCCACACGCTTGGTGAAAGGATGGTTGAGTCTGCTATCAGTCCTTTCTTTGTTGGCAAAACTGGTTCAGTAGAGACTCATGGTTCAAATCGCATTTAATGCTATTACTCTTTCGCAACCAGACTTCTTCCAAGCTTTGAGCTTCTATTTGGGTAAAGGCATTTTTGAAATGTGGGCAACAGCTTTTAAAAAGTCAAGCTATTGGGCTATTTCAACTTGGTTAATGACGATCTATTTATGCATATGTCTTCAACATTTACAGTGCGTTAGTATGAGGAAATTTAAAAGTACAAATGAATTCATAAATGATGGAATTTAATGTTTTAGAATTTGTAAGTTTCTTTTTTGGTTAACAAATTCAAACACGAAATTTAACGTTTATTTGTAAAGTTATTTGTTTTTAATGCTCAATCTCTTTGGGAATTTTAGAAATGATGACTATTTAGAGAGAATCTAAAGTTGAGAATTATGACCTCTAAATTTCATGTTTTTTCCCAAGCAGAATTTCTAAATTTCTTTATTTGTTCTCCAAACATGAGAATTGATTTATGTCAATTCTGATTTTTGTCAAAATCTCATATCTATTTCCCTCGTCCAAATCAATCAATGACTAATTAAACGCTATGACTTTGCATCACATTTGAATCATTCTTTGCCTTGTCAAGATGAGAAGACGAGAGAGAGATAGAGAGAGAAAGTGAAGAAGAAAAGAAAGCAGAAAACCAAACCACAGTTTTCGAAAAAGGAATCTCCAACTGTACCACACAAAGCCATCCTTTTCTCTCCTTTGATCTCTTCATGCATGAAACCCACGTGTATAAATAAACCTTACCTCTTCTTCTTTCTTTCAAAGACAAACCAAAACCTATTCAAATTGTAACCAATGTCACTGCAGGCTCATCGTCCTCGTGTTATCGTCAACGGAATAAGACGAATGAGAACCTACCGTTACTTTTGGTGCCAACATTGCCAACGTACTATAAGGATTGCGTCTTCCAACCCATATGCAATTCTGTGCCCATATTGCTCAACTGAGTTCAATCATGAGCTTGATATACCAAGCCCTAGGCTTGTCAATGACCACCTTACACTGTCCCCGGCTGCCCAGTTATTGCAAACCTTGTCGCTCATCCTAGATCCAATGCACCAAAGAGCTCGAGAGCAAATAGAAAACGAAGATCATGGACGGTCTTGGATCACCCTCCAATTTGATAGACCACCTCGCTCATCGCCAAGACAAATTGTTCCCCCTCTGGTTCCTCTAGCAAATATTAGCGAAGATGGTACTTTTGAAGATGTGGTAAATGATGTCATTGGGGGCACCTGGACGGTTGAAAATGACCGCCCAGGTCCCCCTCCAGCATCTGCTTCAGCCATTCAAGCTTTGCCCTTGGTGAAGGTCACGGAAGGGCAGGTGACGAACGAACCCACTTGCCCTGTGTGCAAGGAAGTGTTCGCGGTTGGTGGGGAAGTGAGGGAGATGCCATGCAAGCATCTCTACCATTCTGATTGCATACTCCCATGGCTTCACATACACAATACTTGTCCAGTTTGCCGGTATGAGCTGCAAGCAGAAGGCACTTCTTGTGACAACAATAACAATGAGTTTGAGAATTATAGTGATGGAAATAATCTCGTAGAAAACATAAATTGGTGGTGGAAGCAATTCCTATGCTTGTGGCCATTTCGCGCATTGGTTAATTGGAGGCAACGTTACCTCGATAACCAACAAGGTAATTAACATTCTAACTCCTGCACGTATTTGATATAATGTTTACGAGTTGTAGCTTTTTCTTTGGGAACTTTTGTCGAACAGATCGTGATCTTTTGCAGACAGAACCTGGTGGACCTCTTGGATCTTTCTATAGCCAGCTTAGAGGTAAAAACATATTGCACAAATTTGTGAATATTACTTGCTTTTCAAGCACTCAATGTAAAGAAGATATTAAAGTTCAACAGGTATGAATCTATATGACTATTATTCTCTCTTTAACCTATAATTTAATGTGTAGAAATGTTAATGGTTAACTATTTTGCTTGTTGCAGTTTCTTTTTAGGACAAATTCTGCACTTTGGAGCACTTCCTAATTTAATTTTATGGGATTTCTTTATCAAAGAATTCCAATGGTTCGATACAAAATAAAAAAAATAAAAAATTTGAGGAATTGTGTTGGTTCCGACCTCAAATAGAATTGTACATGAATAAAAGAATGGCATCTCTTGCCTCATTTATAAATTGTTTCTATGTCTATCCTGTTTTTCGTTTTTATTTTTTTATATATTCTTTTTACACTTTTAATCTGAATCTCATGAAAACCCAAAAAGAATGGCATTTTATTGACATCACTTTTATATTTTGGGTTTTGGATATTTTGGTTAAAATATTGAGAAAAAAAAAACCAAATATATATATATATATATTGGAGATACTATTTAAACTATTTATATATATACTTTTTTTATAACCATGATCATTTTCTTATATGTCGCTAACTTTCGTTGGAGGCAAATGTATTATCTAACTTGTCATCATCACCGCCATCATTTCTTATTCCCTCTATATATTTTCTTTTGAAAAAGTTATATTCTAAACTAATCTAATATACGATAAGAGAATATCGAACTCGAGTTCAAAGGGATGAACACACTGTCTTAATCAACTAACCTAACCTACATATACTTTTCCCTCTATATATCTTCAGTTAAAAATAAAAACCAAGAATAAAAAACAAAACAAAAATTTAATACGAGTCAAAAACAAAAATGTTATCAAATGGTAGTTAATGTATTTTGAGAAGTAGTTGTGATAGAGGGATTTTAATGGGCTACAAAAACAGAGCCTTTTGCACCAAAGAGGAAACTGGCTTATTACAAACAGATCCTCTCTGTGCCTCTGCTCCCCTTCTCCATTTTCATGGTTTGATGGTTAGGCAATAGCAATAATGATAAGATCATTTGAGCTTCAGGGGCAGTGGTTCCCATTACCCAAAGTGGGTCCCACTCCAATCCCCATTCATCACATCACCACCGCCGCTTCTCTCCGCCTCGGCCACCATCTCGCCCATCACCAATTCGGCCTTGATTCTCTTTTTCGTTCCTACTTTCAGGTATCATTTCATTCAATTTTCTTCAATTTCTATGGTGCCCTTGAGGATTAAATGTCTTAATTTGATGTAAATGGGTAATATAAAAGATGGGTTTTTGTTATTTTTCGTTTATGGGTTTTCCTTCTCTTGTTTGTTGTGAAAGCAGAAACTTGCTCATCTTAGTCCCCTGCGTAGATTGAAGAAAGGAATTAATTTTCTGCCATTGTCAAGTCATGCTTCACCTTGCTTTAGTTTCTTTAATGGGGGAGAAACTAGCAATGACTCCACAAATGAAGGGATGTCTAACTCTAAGGTGTCCAGTATAAACTTCTTCAATGGGAGGCAATGGACTAATGTCCTCCTTGCTCTTAATATCTTGTAAGTTCCATTTTATCACCTTTCCAAAACAAAGGATGAAGGATATGTAGTTTATTATGAACATAAGAAATTTGTTTTTTCTTTTGATACTTGAATACATGTGCCTCATTTTTTACGTTTTTGAAATTGAATCCAGCAATCCACTATACAACTTATTGTTTGTTAAATCGCGTGAACAGAGTTTACATTGCACAAATCGCAACACAAGATGAGTTACTCCTATGGGGAGCTAAGGTAAGATGGCAAAACAAAGTGCGGGTACATATTCTTTTCAGTATTGAAACAGGCACTAAGTGGATTTTTTTTCCATTGTCTTGATATATCCGTAGATAAATAGTCTCATCGACAAAGGGCAATTGTGGAGGCTGGTCACATC